CAAAGCTTTCTATATAAAATTATTTTTCATTACAATTTAATCTATTATATGGCATGTAATAGGGCGTCAGCGATGTACTCGGTAATGTATGCTCGTATATATATATATATATATACCTATATCAATAATAAAAAATATGAAATCAGTCGAAACTATTATAAATAAACAAAATTAAATAAATAAATGTTCTGATTAAAAGGAAATATTGAGATTCAAATAAAGTTATAACAGAATAACGTTATAAAGACTCCACTGCCCAGCAGTGAGTATTATGGAGTCATATATTATAGAAACCCACTATGGGTTTCTATGATATATGACTCCATAATACTGTATTCGGGCCACGAAAAAAACTATTTCAATCGATTATTAAGCATAACTCAAAAACTACTGATCAGATCTTGATAAAATTTATATAGGACCATACAAGAAGAACCAACTTTCAAATAGAAAAAGATTATCTGAATCTGGTGATGTAAGAAACGAAAAGAATTTAATTGTGAATCTCCTCCTTTTTTGAAGTCGGTTGACCACTCTGTACCGCCATAAATACTATTTGTTTAGCCAGTCAAAAATATAATTAGCACATTCAATTAAATTAACAGAGCGAATGAACCTCCGGGATTCGGCGGTTGCATACCGCATAGTGCGGTCCTTTTGTGCAAACAAAACGATGGACAACGCCCGTAATTATTATAAAATGTTGTATAAATGCTGACCATACAACAATTCTATCAGTCCTTTGTTCTGCACAATTGAGTAGATAAAACTTTTATTCGAATAAACTCAATTTAAAGCACTTTTTTTAAATGGTATTTTTTGTAATTCCACTATCCGATTCGGAAAGCAGATGCAGCCGATAATTTATGTTATCGGCTGCATCTGCTTTCGGATATCTGCTTTGCATCTATAATCGTTCTCGACTATTATGCATAGATTGCCACCTTAAACTATACTTAGTTTTTTTATACTACGTAGGTAACCAAACATACGACCTATCTGATAATAAACGGTTACCCTTACGGTTTTACACTGAAAGAGATGATCATCATTGGTTACCACATATTTTCAAAACTATATTAATGAAAACTTCAGACATATTTAATACATAGATTTCACTCATATATAAAATAGTATATTTCAAAAATAAAATATAAAGGTATATAAACAGATGGTACCTAGATACACATATGTACAGAACAAAGACAAAATCCACAATTTGTAGAGGTATATTTGCTGTCTAGAATTTACACAAAAATCCTTTGAGCTACTTACAGTTCAGTAATGGTTCCAAACATACATTGTTTCATAGACTAGGGTTGTCATTATCACAATATTTTTGTTAAACTTTTTTTTTCATATTGTAAGAAAGTTCAAATATGATAAAAAGTTAAAATAAAAAGGTTTTTACTTAACTAACATATGCAAGAACAAGTCCAATATTCATAATTTAACAAGCGTGTCTGACAAGTATACTCGATAACTATAAATTTACATCAACCTTGGTTACTGTAGACTGTATACTTTATTAAACACTTGGAGCGACCGAGGATGACTGTCGTCCAGTCGTCTGTGTGAGAACCTTTGCCTCACCTATATCTGTTTTACAAGTTCTGTTGCAATACGAAGGGTGAATATGGCAGTGAAATTACCGTGTACGTGTGTGAAATTATGATGATGATCATTATATTACGTGTAGACATAAAAAAATATTTGTGATATGTGTGGTATATGCGACGGAAAAAACGGACAGCTCGTCAAGCAGTCATTTACGGAGTACATACAGTACTGACCAATTGTATTGGTCACTTGTGGAGGACCTCTTCAGTACATACGGATGGCATCCCTCAATAAGATACTAGGTAAGATTATTTCAACTTTCTTGTTGGTGAACACAAGAGTCCTAGTTCCTTTACGTGTTTGTAGAATACAACGGTTGTTTGCGGATTATACGTCCATTGTGGTATAGAATTCAATGGTTTTCAATGCGACGTGTGAGTAATGTATCACAGATCTGTCTTACAAAGGTAGTCTTTGTGAAGCGATATCTGAAAGATGTGCTAGGTTATGCACATGTCGACCATAAAGAGATTTTAAATTTTCATTTAATATATTTTTCTACTATGTATTACATTCAATAAGACTATATCTGTATTTATATTGAATAAAACTAATAATTTCATTCATTTTTATTTTCTGCAATTTGTTTTCCGTTTTATGATAGCCGATAACTAATTTTGCCTTATTAAACAGATAACCTTTGAACACAAAAGATGCTAATAAAGGCACTGTGAAGAAACCCACATTTTGAAAGATATGGATAGCAAGCAAGTTTTATTAATTAACCTTTTTTGTACTATTTACATTACTGACGTATCATGTATAACAAAATTATCATTGTTCTAATAAACGTTGCTAACTGTTTCCAAGCAAAGCTTATTTTACATCATATCATAAAAATGCTACATAGTGACAGTGTAATAATAGAAATGTCACATCAAAACTAAAAGCGCCCGACGGCAATTACCAACTGTAGATATTTTCTCTTACGATGTATTCTGGTAAAGTAGATGAATGGTTAACGTTCATTAGAACATTTGAATGAGTCAAGTCAATTTGATTGATACAAGCTGGTAATTTAAGTGATTACCGCCACTCATAAGTACCCGCAACACCTAGGAGAATGCAAATGCGTTGCCGTGTAAGAAGAAATAAGAAGAAGGTGAAGGTTTCAATATCGTATAATCCAAAATACCCTTACTAGAAGATGATTCCACAATGAGGTTGTGCGTGGCAAAAAGTTTCTAGAAAAACGCACGGTGGTGATCTGAATGAAATTATCAAGCACATATGTAAGTATGGAAAATATTCAAACGATATTATATTACATCACATATACACATCTCATAATGAAATTTTCATACAACAGGCAATTTCTCAGAAACTAGTTCATAGACAGACTTAAAAGTATAATATGCTTCCTAATCAATACGTACTGAAAATGATTTTGAAACTAACTAGGGCCGTCACCAAATTTCAGAGATTATCTAGGAACTATGTCATATAACTAGTTACATTCAATGCATCTTTGATAGATATAGTAGTGATAATTCTTTCACTCAATTTGATTTAGAATTAGTAAATCTGTGTCTTATCTATGTGTGTAATCAGGTGCATCCACAAATCTATATCAATGTCCTGGGATTACATTACATAAAGCATTTATATATTTCCGTATGAATTATTAGTACAATAAGGAGAAATACAACTGTAGTCGGACCTATCAACAATCACAACGTAGGATTACGTAGAATTTTCCGATCCTTTAGCTGTTTGAAGCTGTTTGTATGTAGGTAGGTACATTTTTGAGCCATCGCAAAGTAGGTAAGGATGAGTCGTCATAGAGACCAACTGGATCCATTGAACAGATTTACCCTTATCCGATATTGTGAGTTGAATAGTTTATTCTGCAAACTCAAGAGCCCCTTTAGATATAAATCTTATTTTATTCATAGGGTTCCTTTCAAATACGTATAATAAGAATTGTAACAGATAATTTTAGTTTAATTCTATTTTTCCCATCTTTTTGCAATTGAATGGATTTACTACGATACAGTCCCATATTCCTATGTATATGTATACCGTACTAATTTTGGCGCAATATAAGTCAGTTTTCCTTTGTCGAACAATATGTCAAACTATTTAGTTATTATTTAGTATCGAAATTTTAATTTTCAATCAACTCATTCTACTCGATACCCTTGGAAATCTAGGTTTACTTACTATAACTAGGCTTTTGGTCTCGACAGTTTAGCTTAGAACATAATGGAATAGTCTTATTACAACCACACACTTCAACACAACTATAAAGACGCTCACAGCAAACAATTAAAGAAATTATGAGTAAACCTAATACGGCCTAGGTGGTCCTGTGGTTTAGCACACTGCTTTACTTCCGATGGTCGCGGGTTCGATTCTTCACACGGTGCTAACATTTGTATCGCCGAAAGTAAGGCGGTGTGCTAAACCATATTTCTTTCATGACATTATTATTTTTGGTTGCAATCGGATAATTTATTTACATTTTATGCCTATATTTTACGACTATATTTGGACCGCTAACAATTATTCTCTGCACTACCTATGTTTGACTGGTATAAAATCCCACCAAGTCTATCAAATGTACACTTACTTTTTTACTGTGTGCATTAATTTTATATAAATCGGTTAACAAACAAAAAAGTTAAACGAGAAGGCCATGGCTTAACTGGTACATCATATATTTCACCTGGTATTAAGTCAGAATTTGAATCCAGAAGGGTATTATGAATTTGAATCCAACGTAGCGCGAATATAATGTTTCTACGAAATGTAAATTGGAAAAATTTCAAAACAATCATCGTATTGAAACACTAAGCCAAGTGGCGCAAACGGCAAACAGAGTAAGAAACAAATTATCTCTATCGGCTAATTGCCGACGGATCAAAGAGCGAGGGAGAGCGCGCTAGACAAATCCCAACCGTTGAATTTTCATATATATTTTTTTTATTTTTGAACAGACGCGAAGGCGGGCTGATGCCGCGGGCTCTATTCGCAATTATTGTTATTACAAAGAGATTGCCGCTGAGCCGGCTCCCGACTCGAGATTTTTACTGAATTCATTTCGACAGCACATAATTGCACTGTTTATGTCCGCCTCTAACAAAAAGAAACTAAGAAATGGTTTCTCGCAACATTTACGCGCAAACACAATGCCAATTTCATTTTATAAGGCTCTGTTTCATGAGATTCTAGTAAGTACTTATTTGCTGATAAAATATAATTTAGCTTTATGCCTTTTTAAATTAACCTGTTATATAACACAGACTTTATATTCACGGGAAATTAGGTATGTTACAGAATGGTCAGTTTTGAAGGTCTCAAATTGTGTATAAAGGATACTTTCCACATTATAAATCATTATAGACACCACAACTAAAGTACCTACTTTAATTACTCACCTATAAATACGAAGATCTGATGATGAGCATACCTCAGGAGCATGGAGATCGAAATAGTCTGAAAAGAAAATAGAACATAAATTTATTTGAAATAGGTAAAACATATTCACGGCTGACTCCCTTCATTTCTGTCGTATGATCCACCAGTAACATGGGCATAAACATCCGATATAATATATGATATTTCATACAGCGCCACCCAATTCCAAATTAAACTTATGTACTGAGTACACCTACTAACCAACTGATAGAAATACTTAAATGTATTTTTTGTACATATACGATACCCAGATGAACAGAACAATACAAACAGTAACATTCATGGATACAAATGTTTATGTCATGTCATGAGAATCGAATCCGCGACAATAGAAAGCAAGCTGGTGTGTTAAACCGTTACACCACTGAAGCCGTCATAGTAATAATTTTTATTGACAACAAAATATTCTATCAATTCTTTAGGAACAATTACAAGTAGGAATTGCGGTTGTAGTTTGCAAATTGCAATTGACCACTAGTATCTAAACTAGGAGCCCGTATTAGTGCATAGGTATTTACGTAATATACCACGCGTTAAGCTGTAAAAAGATATACCTAATAAGTTCCGAACCTCTATATTTAGAGTGAAAAAACATAGAAGTCTGTACCTAATCACGCACAACGCAGATAAATATTTGTTAATCCGGCAACAACACAATGAAGTTAGATCTAAAATTGAAAATTCCAGGTCTGGGAACGTATACGTTACAATTACTACATAAAGGAACATTTAGAAGGGCAGGTCTGTTACTTAAATGGATTCAATCTGCACTAAGCGTTTCGTTAATGAAATTCAATCGCGGCAAGGCGGCGCGGGGAGCAAATGATGTGGCGAAAAGATTGATAGCCGACTAGTAGGGACGGCGGCCCTACCACCACCTACATCCAACATGTAACTATGCTGATTCTAGCTACTGTTTAGTTTTCGTTTGGAGTCAAACGTTAAGTCATGCTGCGATGGCGTAAAAGGGAAAATATACTTCTTGGTGTACCAATGTTTCTGTAATACTGCAGTTGCCTATAACTTAAAAGTAGAGATAAGATAGCAAAATAGAAATGAAGATATTATCAAAAATTAATACTTGCTGTTAGCGGCACACATCTTTTTTGTTTGATTGATATAATTGATAAATCGATTTATTTTTGACATTTGTTTTTATATTTTTTTACCGTTACTTATTTTGTTTTTCTATAAAGCTTGTGACAAATATATACATTCAGGAAACCTTGTAGTATACCGTCACCAATACGAGTAGTACGATGATTCGTTACCTAATGAATTGTACTCACGGTGAAGATGAACCAAAAGAATAAAATAGGAACATTGTAAAGAATTCCATAGTTAGAAATTATGTAATACACAAAGAAAGAACTGTCTTAATTTATATATAATTTATTAATTTATATATATATATAAATCCTTAAAAAGTATGTAGCATAGTAAAAAACTGCTTATTTTACTATGATACATACTTTTTAAAGACTTCTCATTTATTTAGTATAGGTATGTATCTACTACTATAGATTACAATTACTTGTGGCCTGAAATCGAGGTTTCGGGTCATGTTTGCCAAGCGTGCTGTGTAGTGATGACCATAATTACATGGGGAATAAGCACTTCAACTCACCAGCGGAGCAATCCAAACATGTTAGCCGATAGATTGTATTTTTTATTTCAAATAATCAATACATTTGGCCAGTATTGAGTGAAGTAAACAGAATTGAGAAAACAAATAAGAGTCAATAGAACTATTTCTTATATACTACCATTAAAAATAAGAACAAATTTAAAGAGAAACATAAGTAATTACAAAATATAGTTGCATTTTTAGTTTCCATTTGTATTTGAATATTCTAGTATTTATGTAATAAAATATATAATATCTACGTACTCTCACACATCGCCATCACTCATAACACAACTGATACTTAGATACATTTTATTTTGTAAATACTTCATACACATACTAAACACTCAGATTGATACAAACAATCATAATCATGAATACAAATGTTTATACCATGCGAAGATGCTGACCATCTGGACTGAACATGGCGTACAAATGCTGTACTGTAATTACGTATATTTTACAAATAAAGAATCTTTAATCTTATTCTTTACTGTAGTACCTATAAATAAAAATACAGTTACTATTCAAGAGGACAAAATTTTGTTATGTACATATATCATGTAGAAATTATGCAACTGTGATTAAACCTTAACTTCCACTTTAATACTTCGTTTTCTCAATACTGAGGATAGTAACTCTGAAATTAATCGCATTTTTAAAATTCCATCATCTGAGTGGCTCCGTGTAAGCATGAACTGAATCATAGAATGTATTGCGTATAGATGACATAAATCATCATCATCACAATCATGTGAATATGAAAACCATCCAATTAAAACATAATTGGTGGAAAAAATACACTAAAACATTATGTTTAACGCCTTTGTAACCGTTTTGCATTATAAACAGATTGATTTTGACACTTGGACTGCGTTATTAAAAAAATTGCTAGAACTGTAAGCTTACTTATTTATTTTTTGTGGTACTATTATTCTGAAATATAGCTGTTAGCATTATTAATTGTTATACACTAATGTTGTCATGAGTAAAAGGTAATACAAATAATTTTTACGGCGCAAGTTAATTCTATCGAAACTCCCCATGTTATTTTATATCCCACAGAACCAACTTCAATATATAACCTAACCAAGAAGAGAAAATTAAATTCTCTAAATTAAATATAAGCGTGCTGATGCTGTTATAATTTGAAATGATATCACTAATAATGTACTGGGTATTGTTGAATTATTTCTATTCTGTTGAACTAGCGATTGCTAAGTAAAGGGCTACGGCGACACGGGTCACCGGGGCGTACATGCTCATGCCGTCACCAGCGCAATGGGCCGCAAGTAATCCAGCCGCCGGCAAGCTGTTAGTTTTTACGGTGGCCGTAAACTAAAGAGCGGCCAGTATATCGATCGTCCCACGCCGTTAATATTAAAAGGTATTGCGCTACGGCCAGTGTAAGTATCATTTTTGCGGACCAAGTTATATTGTCTCGTAGAACAGTAGAATTAAGTTCCTACCAGGAAGGCATAACATCCTACCGAAATCGCCGCCAAAGATGTTGCTTTGTAAGATGTGTTACTATTGAAGGATGATATGGCAGGGCAATTACAAGGTACAGAAGTATTACACCATAATCTTCTGGAACATTACCGATGTTTGAATGATACAGACATAACGTGATGACAAAATATTCGTAGTGCTACCTATTCGTAGTACTATCAGGAAGAATATTCCTATCAACTTGTTTTTTACTACTTTTACTTTAAAAATAATTAAACCCGTCAAGAAGACCAGTGTTGACCAAGTTAATGTTTCATGCAAAACATATCAAACAGCTCCTTACAGTGTGGCCTATTCTATAGGGATTAATAACAATAAGGTTTCGCCCAAACCAAAACTAAACTCAGAAAATGTTCATTTCCCCAAGCAATTATTTACATTAACCAGTACATTACCATGAACATACAAGAAACGAGATCAACTGAGACGTACTTTTTTTAAATCAATAGGTAAAAAGATTATATCTATACATATAAATAAAATTGGAGTGTCTGTTTGTAATATTGAAATAACCGTTTTATACTAAATGCACTACATGACTATAAACACGGTACACCAAAATAACATTTTTTACGATTTTTGTCTGCCTGTCAGCTTGTTTGTTCTAACGAAACTCTGAAATGTATGGACTTATTTTGACAGGACTTTTTTTGGCAGGTAGCCGATATAATAATGAGTAACTTAGGCTACTTTTATTTTAAAATAATAAAGTTAAATTCCACGCGGACGTAGTCGCGGGATCAGCTAGTAATATATAAATCAACAATATAGTAAATATCTGATAATTGTCTTGTGAGATGACAATTAAATTTCTGAACTAATTTTCTTAAAGAACTCATAAGTAGAAACAATTGACAGTTCGTACCAGATTTTAACAATTTCTTTATTGGCAGTATTATATTATATATTATATTACTTTATTCACAAATGTAACAAATCTCGTTACACAACAGCATGTCAATAGTAATTACATTTTTAAGATAATTATGTCACAATTACAATTTTAAGTATTCAAAATAATAAATTAAATAATATATAACATAGTAATAAAAGTCACTTAATGGAAAATGTCATAATTGTACATTGGAATTCAGATATTCCGTCACATTGTAAAAAGGATGTTGCTCGAAATATGATTTTATTTTGTTCTTAAATTCTGTTGATGTTAATTGCATTGTTACATGTGGTTAATTATACAATATGTGGTTATAAATACAATATAATAATTGTATGTCCTTGTGAATCACCTTAACTTTAGTTAGGTAATGTCAGTTACTAAGTAATTTTAGTGTTATGTATGTTTAAGTAGTTCATAACAAAAGTTATTGGTTTGAAGAGCTTCGTCAAGACCAAAATGCTTAACAATAGACAATAAATTTAACACGAACGTTGCCGTTTGGTGAAAATAGCCATAATTGTTGCTGTTACAATAATAGCACATAATACGTACATATGAGGCTAAACATGACAATGTACTAATTAATGACAAAGCATGTTAGATAAACCAGTTGTTAGGTGTATATACGGCCTCCTCACCGATTACGCTTTTTATAATAGTTGTTGTCAAATATAGATTGACATCAGTGTAAATATATTATAAAAAGAGACAATACAATTATTCTGCAAACATACATATTATTATTATTTAACACATCTCAACAAAAAAGAACCCCACCACAACATCTGGCGACCGTGACTTAAAAGAAAAATGTTGAGATTAAGAAAATCCAGAAAAAATTTACGCCGATTATTCACAAAGACTGGGAACCAGTTATCAGAATTATTAAAGGAACCCATACCAAATACTGCGGAAATAAAGGCGTGTCATTCAATATTTAAAGGTATAGCAGACGAATTATTTAAAGTAGATAAAGATATT